GGAGTGGCTATGAATGGTACTCACAAGACTCATGCTTTTCTATTTAGATACTGAGATAAATAATCTTACCTTCCATCGCTTGTTATTTAGTCTGCAATTGCTCATTGTATTTTATTTCTCTGAGGCTGCTAGAAAAGACACAAGCCTAATTTACCAGTAACAAACACCTTATGAGGACAGCTGGGAAGTGAAACAGATGTTGAAACTAAACGCTTGAAACAATCTTCATCAGGCGGATTTTGTTAATTCCTCGGGCTTTTGGACTTTACAGCTATACCAAAATACCGTTTTGGTAAAACTCTTGTAACTATACATCCTCTACCAGGTTTAGAAAATATGCTCTCTCTCAGGGGGCCAGCAAATGATGCTACCGCAAGGAACAGCGGCAAACTAGCAACTCTTGGTAATGCATGTCAGACCACAGCTTTTTCACAGACAATACTGGCTCCTCTTATGGAAGCTGCTTGGAATGAATAAAGTCTAGTTAACATAGTTGCAACCTAGTATGTGCTTAAGAAAAGCCTTTCTTTCACTAACTCCATTAAAATATATGAACACAGATCTAGAATTCTTGAGTATTCTCACCTGTGACTTGTAGCATGCAGGCTTCATTGAAATACCATTTTGCTGGAGATTTATGTTACTGAAAATAAGTATGATTATTCTTCTGTATCTTTCAACACCTTATACATCTTCAGCTCCACTGTCACAAATCTATTTGCTTTAATTAAAATCTCTCCGGTGTTAAGACAGGCAATCACAAATAGCAAATACAGTATTTTAATAAAAGTGGATATGTGGCGGGAATCTGGTTGTTCTCTAGTGGTACTACTGTATTTTAGGTTAACAGCTCACACCTAGCGAGCAGGAGATGCACAGAATTCCTCATCCTGCTTCATCCCAGAAGAGATGGCAGAAACCACCACCTTAGTATCCCACCCATGGCAGCAGCCAGCACCAGGCAAGGTTTTCAAACGAACCAGCAGGCAATAGGTAATGACAGTTAGTGGCTAAGTTTCTTGTTAACCTTACCATTTTCCAGTTTGTTGCATCCAGAAGAATTAGAGGAAATGAGAATTAGATTTGTAGCAATAGACTCCACTAATACTGACATGTTTGGCAGTAGCACAAAGCACAGCCTCGTCACCAGGCCATCTCCCCCTGCCAAGTTTAGAAGACTGCCTCCAAGACAGAGATAGCAAAGCACCTAAAAATGAAGCTGTTGTGAGAATTTTTAACATAGGAGGGAAAAAAAAAAAAAAGGCATTTTACTAGCTTGGTTCTCAGGAAAGGCTCAACTGCTTTGACTGAAATAAAACTCTTAGCCCAAGATAAACAACAGCCCTATAAAGTATCTGCCCATAGGGCTACGACTGAGAAAAAGGTCCGAAGCGTGGCCCGTCTTGAAAAGATTATGCCTGCTCTGCTTGGAGGTGTGCTGTTGTAGTCTGGGGGAGAAACTACCGTCTGCTATTTGAACTACATTGAATTTACTTAATCCAGATTTTCTCCTGAGGTGTATTAAATTACAATTAAGTTAACCTACTTCAAATGGAACAACTTTATTCATAGAAACATTATCAAAACAGTAGGTAGGGAGAATGAAACCCAGGATTTCAGAGGTGAACTGCTAAACCACATGGGTAACCCGTTGTACAATTTGTGGATCATTATAATTAGTTAAGTTACAGACTGGAACTGTGGTAAGTGAATGTGATGTCCAATTTACCACTGCTGACAATTGACAATATATAGTCCAGCACTTTTAAGATGTAATTATTAATTTTTATAACATCTGCTCTGTGGGCAGGTTCCGCCCAGGTATGTAGAAAAACCAATTTATACTCTAAAAAACCCCACAACTGAGAAGCCCTTAATTAGGACAAACCTATGAACTTCTGCAATAAATGACTGGACACCATTAAAATAGGAGTTACTATTCTACTGCACACCCATCATAACGCCTTGCTAGCTACTGGATTGCCAACAGATTACTTCAGCGGTAAAAACACCAGAATTAATCAATAGAGCTTGTTTAGGAAAGAACACCGTAAAACAGTGACTCCTTTGAAATCTGAGGGCCTCAAATACCCCAAAACAGAAAATAAAGAGCCTAATTTCAGTTTAAAGAAAAGCAATTTTTTCCAATTCAAACAGTACACAAAAACTAGACTCTTATAGCTGCCATCCTGGATTATACCAAGTGCCCAGGAAAGCAGGCACAAAGAGATGGGTCCATGTACATGCAGAGGGAGACAAGGGGGTGAAAAGCATCGTTAGAAGTTTAGGTAAGTCCTACAAACACCCAAGTATTTTTCCTTCCTTAACTTCCTTTTCCTGGATAGTTTCTACGATAAAGGCATTCACAGACAATTAATTTCCAGGATGATTTATCAAGCCATAAAACGTTATCTGTGGTCACCTCTACAACAGATTTGTCCACACTTGACAGCGTTTCTGAGTAAGGCAGAAGATTCTGCAGTTAACCTGAAAACCCCCATTAAATTGAAATTAAACAGTTTCTGTGGAAGACTGTCAGAGATAGAGAGTTCACAGTGATCTGTTCTTGCAAAAAATCTTGAGAACCACTGACTTCAGATATTTCCGGATGAAGCCAAAACAATGTAATTGCCCAAGTAGAAAAATCGTAACTCCTTCCCTGGTATATACTCCGTAAGACGCGAGAGACTGATTTATTTTATCCACCTCATAACACATCTTCCTTTCTGCCCTCTCATACTCACACACTTAAAATACTAAATAGACATGAACACATTTCTGGCACGCACTTACACTGGGAACTTGAGAATGATCAAGTCAGTCAACATGCTAAATAATCTGTGAAAAGACAGCAAGCTACTTCAGACTGTCAGGTAACTGGCCTGGCCTTTAAAAGCTATAGGCACTGTTGATGGGTATCACGAGATGGCTAACACCGCACAGCAAAACAGTAGGTTTTGACAGTTAAAACTGCACACAAAAACTAACTCTACATTGAAATATACAGTTTATTTTCTCAAAGTCAAGCAATACCATTTGTCAGTAGGTAAGTGTTAAGTGTCAGGCAGGAAAACTGTACATTTTCACTCTGGGCTCCAGGATCCAAACAGTTGGAGAAACGTAGTGGAAATCTTTCACTATACAAAGAGATCTAGAATTGAGAACAACATAAGGTGAAGACACAGCCATCCCCCGGATGCCAAAGGCAAAACATTAGCACCAGATTTTTTCAAAAAGCAACAGTATAGCTATTTACAGATTTACATGTAACATTGGGAGGCAACCATCTTCAGGTTCTCAGGGTGAGAAATTTTCAACACAGTTTTAAAAAAGGAAAGGAGAGAATGGTGTCTACGCAACTGTTCTGTGAAAAGGATAATACATATAGCATTCACAATATTGCTACCTTTTATCAGAAAGATCTAAATCAAAGTACTGTATACAAACACATTGTAATTATATTATTATTCACATTTCACATACACATTTCAGAGTAACCACAATATGTAAAATTTTTAAAATGCCACAGATAAAACAACGCACACTTTTCTCCAAGCTAAAAGACAAGCATAATTTATTTGGGAATTGTTTAGTTTTGGGTTTGTTATGGTTAAGGGATAAGTTTAAGGACAAAGGGATCACTCGTCCTAGGAACATAGCAGCAAATAACTGTGAGATGCCAGAGACTACATTTCTGAACTAGGAGGAAGAAACGAAGGTCAGCTGCAGGTCTTGTAAAATGGTAGCTCCATTTGACCTCAGCTGATACACATCAACATGATTTCATTAAAGATTTGGTCCAGGTATACGAAGTAGTGCACTATAAGGGGGGCAACAGTCCTTTTAACGTTTGCATCTGTCTGTAGAGGAACTGGTTCCAGAAGATTTTTGCTCCCCAGTTCCCCAACTTGCAAGGAATTTGCTGACCAGCACCTCTCCAGTTCTCACCGCAAAAGAGAGGATTCAGGTAAGAAGGACGGAAAAACTTTTGTGAATGCTGCCACTGCAGGCATAGTGGGAAGAATTATTTTCTCTCTCTTTTCAACACCTAACTACTTGTATTTTCAACCTGCTTAGCTGCAGACTGGCATTCACATCTGCCTCAAAAATGGCTTCTTGTTGGGCAACGTGTTTGTCTATGGATAGATAAATGTTTTCCGTACTACAATGTAAGTGGCATGTACACAAAGTCATCCAAGACTTTCCTTTGCCTGCAAAACTTTATCTTAACATAGAACTTGACATTTAGGCACTACAGAATTTCTCTATAGATATCTGAGCAAGTCAATGTAACCTTTTACTGCGCTAAAACATGAGTTAGCACCTCTTTTTAGAGCTACTGGAAATCATCTGTTATAAGTCAATGGCAGTGTTACTAGAACACAACCAGTAATCTGATACTGTGAACTAGCATCCTCTCATTAATCATTGTGCAATGGAAAAAACAAACAAAACCCACTTATGTTCACAGTTACAAAGCATAGTTGCTCCAAATAATGCACAGTATTTACAGGGCAGAAATTGTTTATATTGCATTTGGTAGACTGAGAAAGAGGAAAGAATGAACAGCATTATGTAGGTCAACTGGAGTATAACTTAACTGTTTATATATACAACCATCACAATGTTGAGCAATCAGAAGAAATATAGAAGCAGTGTCCTTAGCCTACATTTATTTTCATAGTGTAGCAGTTTTGGGGGAGGAAGAATAAAAACATGCATAAAAACCACAAGAAAGAGCAAATGAGCTTTCTAAATAATTTAGATGATAAATTTTTTGAACAAAATCAGCACAGTACTTCCAGCCTGTTTCTTAAATCAAGTACAACTTGGTAAAGAAAATCACTTGCACTGCAGTAAGAAGGTGTACAGCTATGTCTTGCAAAATAATTTTAAAAAAAATCTTCAGCAAGGTAGCCATTAGGTGATTCGCAAGCTGGTTTAAGAAGCGTTTAACTGAGACTGATTGTAGAGTTATTTTCTGCAAGGGGAAAGTGCCATCCCATATACAATATTACAAAAAAGTGTCTGATGCCACAGGATCAGAGTGACACTACATTTCAGCAATCTGAATATATTAGCTATAAGAGGCACGCTTCCCCTATTTAATGTGTCTTTAAAAAAAATAAAAAGCCACTAAATTTAGAGCTTCTAAATTTGTGTGCATTCATAAATTGCTGTTGGGTTTCCCAGCAGTCTGTACAGCATCTGAACATAAAGAAAGTATACAACCTATTCTAAAAAACACTGTTGTTTGCATGCACAACCGCCACAGACTTTCAACTTACTGAGCAGAAAGGTTAAGAGTCTATCCTTTTCTGTGGAGCTGTCTGTAAGTTAAGCAATGAGAAACAGCTGTAGAGTCCGGCAATAAAAATGTGTTCTAAAAAATTAAATACATCATCCCAAAAAAGAGAAAGAGAGCATTATTGCTGTTGTGAGAGCTATTTTTCTCTTGTGCACTTCTTTCTCTACTGGACACTCAAACGAGCCAAAATACTCATTTGTATACTTGGAAACTCCCCCATCCCTTCCTTCTTTCCCGTTTTTCACTTCCTTGGTCAAACTCAGTCCTCTCATTTGAGCCGTTCAGGTTGGAGGCTATCGGTCAGACACTTCAGTTGCTCCTCCCCCAGCTTGATCTTGTCCTCAAGCTCTCGCTGCTCAATGATGAGGGCCGACTTCATTTTTACAAAGTGCTCATAGTCTGCTAAGTTCTCCTCACTCAAGTAGTTTGCTAGAATGTCAAAGACGATGCGTTCTCGACGATCCAGGTTTTCCTTCAGTTCTTTTGCATCTTCGTGTTGCTGGGTCAGCAGCTTCTGCTTCTCTACCAATGTCCGCTTAGGAGAAAAGAAAAACAGTTAAAAATTCGCTGGGTTTACCAGGCTGGGAGAACAGCTTCAGCATTTAAGTCTCAAGTCTGTTTTATCTGCAAAGACAAAGACTTTCCTGAATACTTAGAGAGGTGGAATAAGAGTGCTCCTTAAAGCAATAAAATGCATCAACGAACAGGAAAAACATGTAGTGAATCAATGAAAGATGCACCATTAATTTCTATTGGCCTCAATAGCAAGAGCTTCAAAGACTACATTACTATTTAATAGTTCAAAATAGTTATATAAAATACAGTTGCCTTTGAGAAACACCAAGTTCTCCAAATTCTTCACTCAGCAACAACTTACATCTTCAATACACAGTGCCGAACTTCCACACTGAAACAGCTGTGGTTAGAGAACCCACAAACAGACTAATTAACAGAGTGATTTGTTTTTACACAGCTCCTGACACTGCGGTATTTTGCAGTTCTGCTGCAATCCGCATGGCTTCTCCACGAGACGTGAAGTCGTGTCGTCTTAAGATACGAGCAAGAGCGAGAGCTGGGGCAAGATAATAGGAGGGAAGTAAAAAAAAAAAAGCATCATCTTCCCAAAAGGGCTGTGAACTTTCTGCTTCATGCCCTCACAAGAGACAAAATAGGAAAAAGGGAGGTTGGATGGAGAAACACACAAAGAAAAAGGACAGGAGCTATATCTCATTCACACATATGTACAAGCATGAAGGGTGAGGTACATCTCACCCAACTTCCCCTGTCTACACAGTAGACAGCCACATCTGAATCACTCAGCTACACTCCTTTTGCAGCATATGGAAAGAAACAGGAGCATTATTAATCTGACCTATTTCAGATGTCTACCTGATTGCCTTTTTCCAGCGACAGAATATGGCTGGCCTACTCTGATGTAAATAATTCCTGTACAGACTTCAGAACTTAATTAAAAAGTGCCTCTAAGAGGTCCTACTCCGTATCTGTTAGCTTTGCTTCAGAGATGAATTTTCTTTGAGAACCTGTGTCTTCAAATAAACCACAGTCTGTTCAAATAAACGTGTCCATTTTTTTCATTTGGACTTTATGTTAAATCACACATGCTATAATAAGCCTAAGGATTTACAGAGAACTGTTTTTCTAGACTGCAAAATAGAGTACTTTCAAGATGGAACTGTGAGACAGAGGGGGATACAGACCAGCAAGCTTTAATAGACCTATCAGTCAGAAATGCACATGTATTCCGTGCTGCCTCTTTTTCTATAGACAGCACAAAGCTCAGAGGGTGAAACGCTTTCAGACTTGCGCTCTCAATGTACTGAAAATATACAGCGTAGATTAACTCAGGATTCAAGACAGCTATGGAAGACAAGTCACAGAAATCACACATTATTAGAAAAACCACAGTTCAAGTCTTCCTTTGAGTGTCTGCTAGGGAAAAAATCCCACTGCAAGTTGCAAGCAGAACTATCTGCTGCAAAGAGATGGAAGTACTGTTCTCCTAAATTCACCAGGGGAATTAGCAGCCAAGCCCAAACTCAGGAGCGTGGCTAGACCGCTCCCCAGGGCAGCCTTGCAGCTTGTGTGTACGCTGAGAAGCAGAAGAAGAATTAGACAGAATTTGATGAACGCAAGAGAGCATATATCAACCAGCTGGTAGCTCAGCTGTAGAGTTACCCGCCTAACCTTGGGATGAAATAGCTCTGTTTTTCAAGCCATTCGCTGTTATTGTCAACAGACATAAGAACAATCAAATGTTTAGTCCTTCATAACAATTCCTGAGATTTAGGTTGTATGGTTTCTTCTTACCAAGCCTATGGCACGACTTTAAGATGAAGTAACCTGACAGTTTAAGGAAAGTAAACACTACTTTTGTTATGAACTTTGCATGACACCTTAGTACCTCTGCCCTTGTGGAGGTTTAGGGAATACTAAGAGAAGTGGGATGCAGAAAGGTAGGAGGCAAATGAGAAACCTCTTGAATTTGCTTTTACCTCTGTCAAAGACAACTGACACTAGAAAGCCTGTTTTGAAGGGTAAAGTGGAACACACTGTAGGAGGCTCGAGACACCATTCTTGAGGAGGTTCTTTGAGCAATGGGTAAATGGCTCACCGGGCCTAAAGGCGTAAATGATGTCAGATGGTTTAATCTGACCAACTTGAACCAACCAAAGCCAAGCAGAGTGCAGAAGGGTTTTTTGCAGTTAGCAGTGATCTGAAGCCCCAGCCAAACACAGGCCATCTGAAGCTCCTCTGATGGAACAATCTCTGGCTCTTTCTATTGAGAGTCTTTCTCAAGAATTGTTTGCTGGTTTGAACCACAGCCATATGAAGAGGGACTCCCTCCATGTATTTGACTTCCCAGCATCCAGTTCCTAAACTACTATCCCTGGCACTTGTCTCTAGCCTTGCAATAACAGGTTTTGTGGGTCTAGGCACCCGATCACATCTGTGGACTGCTGGTTCAGCGCTTTAGGGTTCTCAACACACTCTGGCTTTGATTGATAAGGAAAGTAATGAGAAGACACTGGTCTCACTGTGTGGAAGGAAGGGGGCTGGTAGCTATTTCAGATGAAGTCCCTTTCAGAAGCTAAAGCTGAAATACCTGATACCGTTCCTTATGGCAAGAGTCCTATGACAGAGCACCTAATAGTCAGAATATTAATTCAGCAGTGATTATTTGCCTGCTGACAGACTGTTTATTTAGAAAGCCTGCTGAGCTGCTGGTGGTTCCTAGAAAGTGGAAAACTATCAGAGTAATGTTTATTAGACAACATCAGCTTCAAAAAAAAAAAAAAAAAAAAAAAAAAATCAGTGATCACTAGGGATATGATTCCCAGGGATGGAAGTAATCTCCCCTGTTTTATTTATACGGTACATTAGTAGTACACCAAATATCATTATGTGACCTACAAAATACCAAAGGACAACCAAAAAAGCCACACACGCCAGTCTAAATTCAAAGAAATGCACATGTAACCCTATATGCATTGTATTTATAGTCAAAGTACCTGGGGACTTGACGCATCTGAGAAGCATCTCTGACCAACACTTTTAGATATATTTCTCATGTTACTATGGCAAGATTTTGGTGTCAGAAGATGAATTAGGGATTGAAGTATGTTAGGAATTTGGATTTCTGTCAGTCTAAATTTGACAGCAGAGCACACAGACAATTTCTGCCTGCCCTTACTACACCACCTACTCACCTTCTTCCTTTTCCACACCTAGCTAATAGGCTATTTTTATCACAGCTCTCAAACTGTGTTTCCTATATGCTCATATCATCTGGTAGCTCTTTCGCCAGCTCACACTCCCATCTTTGAGCCCATTAGGCAACTGCAACCACATTTGGAAAAAAGTAGTCTAAAGAAAGATTAAATTTCTTTAAGTTTCAGAAGCTTTGATCTGCCCTCTAATAAGCTGTCAAATATCTTCCCTTCGCCTCAGTCAGAGAGGGGTCTGGACAGCCATTAAACAAGTATGTTTGGCAGCAGCTAGGGCCAAACAGCAAAAACACGGTTTCAGACTAGTCCCAGCACTTACTGGTTCTTATGGGTGAAACAACAGAGCACGCTGAAGAAACACAACATGAATCCACAGCCCATGGAAAAAATTCTGTTACAACACTTAGGTGGACTGCTGGCATTTCAGTCCACAGCTACAAGCCAAAAATCCCACTTCACATTCATTTAACTGTAGAAGCTAAACTCACTTGACACATACCCGCCCCCCACCCTCTCTCTATTTATTTTAGCCTTTAAGTTTCACACACGTCTACATTTCTCCTTTGGGGCATATCTGTATCGCTAGATATCTGCTTCCCAGCTAAGGCCTGTTGGGATTTGGAGCTAAACAAAGTGCTGCCAGCAGAGGTGGGGTCCAACAGGTAAGAGCACCTCAAACGCTCCTGAAATTTTCACATCTGCTGGGATTCTTCCACATTGCTACCGGGCTATTCTGGTTGAGTAAAACATGTTTTCTATTGAAAAATTCTTTTTGTAATGTCCCTCTCCTGCCCGCCCCCCAAAAAACCTTTTTTTTTTTTTTTAAAAGACTTGTCCTTCTGTCATTTTTTGCTCTTGTTCCTTGCTAGGTATTGCGGAGGAAGCTGTAGTAGATGAGAAACATTTTCTTTGTAACAACCTTACAGATTTTTATCAAGATCCTTGTTGAGTATAAAGAAGTCTGTAAGCTTTCTGCATAACAGCACAAAGTGACACTCCTTTTCCCATCTTGAATTGTTAGAACATTTGTCTCCTTTTTAAACTCTTATCAGTAGTTCCCCTCTTTCTTTAAAGAAACTTTTGCTAAGTCTATTTTCCAATATGTTGCACCCCAAAACATCACTTTTTCTCACAAAGCCACTTGTAGTTTTAATATTCCAAGCAAAAGCAAGGCAAAAAGAAATCTAAAGAAAATGGCCTTATGAGATTTGTCCATTCACTATCCCTCACCTTGAGCTCTGCAATTTAGATAAACAAAACCAAGCAAAAATCCCCACACCAGGTTCAGTAAATGCAGTGATATTATTTTTGGCCTTTCTCACCCGTTCTTCTGGAGAGGTATTTTCATCCAGGTTATTAAGGGCATTTTCCACCCGCGCCAGACGACCTGATAGTGACAGCAGGAGGTTGACCACTTTGTCAAGGTCGCCAATAAACATCTTGAATTTGTCAAACTCATTTGGTTTGCAGACTTCTTTCACAATGGCCTCTACCTCCTCTCCCAGTATATTGTTTGCTTGGATGTCTTCCAGAAGAGTCTCCCGTGCTTCCCTGAGCACCTGCAGCTTCCTACTAATGCTGTCAATAAGTTCTTGCTGTGGAAAATAAAGGGAATGAGAATTTATTAGCACTAATGCATTTCTCCTCACTTCCGAAAGTCATGTCAGAAATCTAGCATTTTAATACATTGAAACTTCCATGTGGCTTTGACAATGAGTGCATTCCAAATAAATATATGTTTACGTATACCTCTAAGGTCTATACCTCTGAATTCAAAGGTTCAGGATGTAGGTCTACGATGCTCAGCTTGTGACCTGTGTTAAAGCAATTTACCTCTGTGGCAAAAGATGAAGGACTCCCCCTTCCCCAGCAAGC